ATTTGGTGCCGTGTCATGCCCTGGAAGTGACAGGTGAAAGACCTGCCAGGGAAGAGCGAGGGTTGGTGTCTTCGGGGGCCGAAGACCTTTAAGGAGGGAGGAATGTGGCGGTCAGACGGGTTCGATCGCCGGTGGCCAGATAGCTCAGTTGGTAGAGCACCTGACTGGAGATTCAGGGGGCCCGGGTTCGAATCCCGGTCTGGTCCGCTGCATTTTCTCCTCTCCCGTTACAAGTGAATGTATTTCGAGGTCAAGGTCAATTTTAAGCTAACCCTGATGAAGTACTGTATATGTACACTTAACAAAACTTCTAAGTGTTCACTCTAATAAAAGTATTTATTTAAAAACTACAAGATAGAATGGTATGATATTTTCAAATTATTATAACCAACGAGTCTTCTCAACAATTGTTGAAAGAAAATCAGTTTTCACCGATGAAAACCAATGTACCGTGACGAAGTGTAAAAACAATAAATCTGTACTTTGCGGCAAGTGTTTTGTGTGATCAGCATCTTTTTGTGACCATTTTCAATTTTTGAAAACTGGTTAAACAAAAAAAAAAACACAAAACATTGGCAAAATGACCATTGAGAAAGGAGGGAGAGCCGTTGGAATGTTGTTGTCCGGATCATCCTTGTTTTACTCACTTTTATTTTAGTGTTTATTTGTCCTTGATATTACTTTTAAAAATTAACAACAAGTATAAAAACCCATTTAAACACATTTTTCTATAGGTTCTGCGTCATTTTCATCGCCAACTTGTCACAATTTGAAAGTTTTGGACAAAATTTCATCAAACCGGAAGTGATCTGGATCTTCGTCCGAGGCCAACGTTTTGCATCACAACTAGGTTAAAAGTTTGTTACATTGTCCTGAAACAATTTTAGAAACATTAAAACAAACGACTTAAATGGTAAGAAAATGATAAGAAATTGGTGCTGGTGGCAGTCTAATATCATCTCAAACAGTCTGAATCATCCTTAAAGAGGTACACTTACATGTGAAACGCCCAAGAATATTGACCAAAAGGTATCTGTGATGATGCACTGTCAAATTCCTGGATCTAAATCCTATTGAATACATTTGGGATTTTTGTAAGGAATGTCTAAGCACCCCCCCCCCCCCACAATTTCAACAGTTTAGAAAGATCCACGCAGTAGGTGTGGCAGCAGATGGGTCAATATCCTATTCAGGGGTACGTGGTATCCATGAGAAAAGAATATGCCTTGCAGTAATTTAAGCGAGTGGTGGTCTTATTCCTTAGAGATTTTATGTGAATTTTCATTTTGAGGGTACATCATGTCCTTAACACTTTGCTTAAAATTCTGACGAGATACTTACACGAAATTTACGCAACAACGAACTGAAATATGCATCATTAACCATGAATTAAAGAAATTATTTATTGTATGCATTTGTTTTTCAAAACTTAAAAAATGTTAGGTGAACACTTAGAAGTTTGGTTCAGTGTATGCTCTATAGTGTCCATTAGAGAATATCCGTGAAAGGCAAGGACAATCCCCTGCTCTGAGACAATATATTTTTTCAATTTTCAAAGTTCATGGAAAAGTTTTGTTTGTCAAAAATGAAGTGGTTAGTATTGTCATTTTTAACAAGTTGCCCGTGTGGCGCAGTGGTTGGAACGTTCGCTCTGGAGTCGCGGAGTAAGGAGTTGATCCTTACGTTGAGGGTTCAAATCCCACTGTGGGACGTGGAGACCGGTCCTTCTGATGAGACTGTATAAATCGAGGTCCCATGTCGCAGTTGGTGCTGGTACAAAAAAGATCCCTCACTACTCAATGGCACTAAGTGCCGAGTATAGGTCAAAATTTGCAGCTTTCCTCCGGAAAGTGGTGGCGTCTCCATATGAGTGAAAAATTCTCGAGACGGACGTTAAACAATAAAAACAAACAAAGATTTTTAACAAAATTGATTCATTTATTTTATAGAATACTTAATTGATTTATAATTTCTTTTAAGTTTACTATTAAAGCATATTTAGTTGAAAATGGGTCTATCAAAGCCATTTAAAATGATTTTTGAATATAAATGGGTCAAGTCTCTATTCTACATAAACATTTGAAGGATGAAACAATTATTAAAAAATCTATTTTATGTTTAAAAAACACACGCTTCAACAAACGCGTTTATTTTAATCAAACTAACACGTCAGAGCAAGATGCAAGAAGGTTGCATAGTGCAGTGGCTTAGGAGTTTTTCATTGCGCGCCTCCGGTAGCTTTGGAATGAGTTCGAATTATGTCTGAAGCGCTTTTTTTTTCTTCTTTTTACATGCTTTTTCAGCATAACTACTTGTAATTCAATGAAATAAGGGAAGCAAATGTGTAAAAGATGATACTGACAACACATTTTTTGAAAAAAAAGATTAAATTTTCTATGAACTTTTCGAATTGAGAAGTACATTTGTCTCAGAGCGGGGGATTGTCTTTGCCTTGTACACCCTCTTTCTTTCTATGAACTTTTCGAAGTAAGAAATATCTTGTTTCAAAGCGGGAGGATTGTTCCCTCCTTGTATGCATCCATTCTTTAATGAACACTGGTCTCAAGTGCCAATTTAATTAACAGTGATTTTTTTTATTGCTTTATTCCCTTATCTTGCATCGTTTATTTGTTCCCAATAAGAATTATTACTGTATGACGATTTTGAATTTGAAGGATTTGTTAAGAAAATAATCTCTAAAATTGAGAAATAAAAAAAATCGAGGTCCAAGTTTTAACTAAGAATTGTTTGCAAATGGAATGGACTAAGCACACAGAAAGTTAGATAAGGTGAAACTATGGTTGAAGGCAGATCAAAAAATTCTGGCATGGTTGAAGTACATGTCTTATAAATCATTACTAAATAACCATCTCTATTATCGATTTTATACACTGAATCTTTTCGGATATTCCAGATAAAAGTATTTGAAGTTTGATAAAGTCATTTTTTAAAGTTGATTCTCTATAAGACAGTTTTGTGGCCTGTACTCGACAACTCGAAAATTTCAAATATTTTTATCTTTAAAAAAAAAACCCAAACAAACCTGTGCGTTGGACTAAAAATCCAATTTTATAATGTGTGTCACATAATGCAATCTTTTACGAATCACATCTTAATATAGATGCAGATAAACATGATTTGAATAGACCTATCCTAAATTTTACTATTATTATTACTATAGTATTTCAACGTAGTTTTTAATCTCTAAATCGAGTAACTTTGATACTTGATTGTATCGATTATAGAAAATAAACGCCAAATTCATATCATAGATCACAGAGAGATTTTATTTACGTAGAATCACATTTTGAAATGATTTTATCGTAGGCTGAAAAACGTCCTTTATTTCCTTAACGTAGAATAATCTTCTTTGTTGTTGAGGTACTTACATAGGGCGGCTGGTCTCAGGGAGTTAGACAGTAGACAGACGACGTGTGTATCAAATTATATGCCTCCAGCCACAGTATACTAGTGGCAAGACATCAGTAATTTTTAGAAACAAACTTGATTTTACCGAGTCCGTTATCTGTCTTATGTCCATTTGTACATAAGATAGATAGTTCATCTATTTAATGTACAAATGATTAAGGTATAAGGTACTCATAAGGTTCTTATGAGTAAATCTTTTCAGAAATTATACCTCAAGCACCTTGACGGTCGTGAAAGAAAAAAACTGTCCAACTTTATCTCGTGGGAAATTGAGAGGCTATTAAGATAGCTGCAACGCACGGTCATAATTCTTTAAAATCGCTCGCGCTTCATTGCCCGATGAAAATGTTATATAAATCCCGTGATATACCATTCAACTGTTAGTTATATTAATTCAAAGTGAAATCCTAACACGATTACAAGTTTTATTTCAATTATTGTACGTTTGTCGACCCATTATATTAGCTCACCTGAACTGAAGTTGGTACAAAGCATCCTTTGGTCAAGGGGAGTTTAAATTGTTAAAATGGAATGACAAGCCCCTTACAAGGGGAGATAATCAAGAACAGACAAAAATAGGGTAGGGTCATAAAAAATCTTCTTCTTTAGAACCACAGGACCAGAAAAGCTGAAACTTATGTTGAAGCATCCTGGGGTAGTGTAGATTCTAATTGTTTAAATCATGACCCCCGGGGGTAGAGTGGGGCCACAATAGGCAATCCAAGTTTTACATTGAAATATATAGGAAAAATCTTTTTAAGAACCACTGGGCCAAAAGAGCTGAAACTTATGTGGAAACATCCTGGGGAAGTTTAAATTCTAAACCGTTCAAATCATTACCCCGGGGTAGGATGGGCCACAATAGGTATAATTACAGGGCGGGGAGGGGGGGGGGGTCTTGTGAAGACCAGCAGGGCCAAAGGTACTCAGATGAGTGTTGTGTGACTCTTGTCTATTTTGTATCCACGGTTACTAATCAAGGAGGGGATAAGAAAGTGACAAAGTTATATTTACCTATTTTGTTTTGTTTTACTCCCTCCTCCCATTACCTGTAAGAGCTTATTTAAGATTTATCATCGCTCTATGAAATTTTGCGTTATGCAAACGATACTTTACTCAAGAAAGCTTGAGATGAACACTATTTCAGCACACCGTGCGGGGCTATTTTCACAGAAATGGTTTTTAACTTGAAAAGTTTAGTAAGGAAAAGCAGTCATTTATATATCAGTGAGGTTATCTCTCTTACCAAACGATCAATGAACCCTAAACCAAAGTACATGTACTTCACAAAGTTAGTATCTTTCCTTACCCTTAAATCATGATTCTTTACAACTTTACGAAAAATATCAAATAAAATGTTTAAAGGAAAACTGCTGATCTGTATTATACTATACAGAACGCTGGTTTTGTTGACATATGTTACAGTGTTTCTATACCATGAAATCTCTGTTTTAATTTCTTTTGTGTTCATTTTCCATGTAGGTTGGTAGTTTATAAAATTTTACCTAAAGGAAAATAGAGACAGGCCTTTGCTTAACTGACTTCTCTGAAACTGAAATCCGGACCGAAACATGAACAGATCGGTTAGTGATTTACCTGTAGAAGGTATCTTTATCAGTCCCTTTGTGTCGAGATAAAAAATCATTGAAGTTAAGATTGTACAGAAATCTACTTATTGCAATGACAGAAGTTGGATGTAATCTTCTTTAATGGTAACCACGTGGTTAAGATATGAAATGAATTATGCGGAAATTACCAAAATACCTCTTAAGTAAGTATAAGGATAGAATTCAATTTGTAAATAATCTCTTCGTCAAAAAAGTAGTCATTTGCAGTACAAAAGCGATTTAGTGTTTGTAAAGTAATACAGTTTTTAAAGATCTAAGCACTTTAATTAACGTTTATAATTAATATGAAGTATAGACATTACAGCTTACCACTGTTGCCCATACAGTAAAGATTGGTATAATTTATTTCTTAAGATCGTTATACAAGTTTTTCCCTGTTTAGCTGACATATTGAAACACAGAGTATGTTTGCAAAATAGGATTTAGCACAGGTCATATCTGCTGTAGTTCATATCACTATAATAATCCATCTTAACACCAAAGGTTCCACAAACTAGGAGAAGTCAATGACATTGAATAATAACGGCCTTGAAGTCATTAACAGAAGTCATGCGTTTTCCTGCCTGCAAAATTGACCACCAAAACCTAATGTAATATACACCAATTCTCCTTTTTTTTCTTTCTTTTATCCATAACATTGCTCTAAAAATGAGTGAATAAAACCTAGTTTGGCTTCTACTGGCCGGCATACTTTTTTGATAGTTTTCTTATCTTTAGTGATAACATACACAATTTTCAGAAATGTGTTTCGGAATAATTTACACAATTGCAAAAGAATTTGCTGTAACTTTAAACATTTTTTCTAGCTAGCTACATTAAAGTTGATGTCACCTCAAGTTTCATAGTTCGATATTTTTTTGTTGATGTTGTATCTTGTTTCCTATTTGAAGAAAATGAAACAATGAAACGAGATACCACCAGGAAAATTCGGGGTCATATATCAAACTTTACGTCTTCTGTGATGTGTATTTATTTATCTTGAAAACGTTTGACATTCAGTCAAATCTGTGCAGCAGATCACGAGCAGCGATAACCTAATCTTATTCATGTATATAGCAGATTTGATGCATTAAATTTCAAATACTCCCAAAGTTTTCTTTTTTGCAGAAATAGGAATATCTTCGATAGCAGCTTTCATTATTATTTCGAAATTAGTGTCAATACATAGAATACCACAACGACGTACGCCAAAGGCGTGTATTGGTTTCCGTGGTAGACTCGGGAACCTAATGTTTCAATACGCTTTTCTATACAGTATTTCTAAATCCAAAGGATTGTATCCTGTAATCCCTGAAAACTTTGAGCTCGGCGATGTTTTCAAAATTAATAAAACGACGTTGAAACAAATTGGCGAAGACAGCACTTCTTGTGATAACATTCCGACTTATTCAGAGAGATGGGCTTGTTCATTTGATGACCAACTTATAAATGTGCCAATATTTCAAAGTGCTAAAATTAATGGATATTTCCAGTCCTGGAAATACTGGATCCAGTATGAAAGCAGTCTTCATCAGACATTCAAATTCCAAGACAGAATATCAGACAGAGCCAGGAAGCAGCTAGCAGACATTCTGGGAACATCGGGGTTTACTTGTTGTTCCAGAAATTCCACGTTAGTGGGAGTGCATATAAGACGTGGGGACTACACTTCTAAACTTGTGAATGACTACGGTCAAATTACTCCAAATGCTAGCTATTACGAAAACGCAATGGATTACTTCGAAAATTTGTATCCAAACGTTTTATTTATCGTTGCGTCGGATGATCTGAAGTGGACCAAGAATGCGTTAAAGAACAGAACAAATGTTTATATTTCATTGGGTAATTCTGGACCAGAGGACATGGCTCTGTTGTCGCTAACTAACCACACAATTATGTCAGTGGGGACCTTCGGATGGTGGGTGGCGTGGATGACTGGGGGGACAACTCTGTATTATAAACCGGTATTCGCCCCGGGTTCAAGTTTCGCAAAAGACTTTAATAATGACGCCAGTAATTTTATTTATCCTGGATGGATACCCATGGAGTGAACAACTCATTTTAACGACAGCTTTACATGCTACTAAAAATGCATAATTTTGTATGTTCTATTAACACATTTTTATAGTTTTTATAATTACTTTTAACAGCGTGCAATTTGTTGCACGTGTTCGTTTTACAATTTTCCTAAGGTTATTTTATAATGAGAACTGTGCTTGCAAAACAAGACAAGCATATAGAACTGTACTGAATAAAATGTTATCTAATTCACTCATGCAAAACCTGATCATGAAAATTCAGTAGAACTGTACTGAATAAAATGTTATCTAATTCACTCATACAAAACCTGATCATGAAAATTCAGTAGAACTGTACTGAATAAAATGTTATCTAATTCACTCATACAAAACCTGATCATGAAAATTCAGTAGAACTGTACTGAATAAAATGTTATCTAATTCACTCATGCAAAACCTGATCATGAAAATTCAGTAGAACTGTACTAAATAAAATGTTATCTAATTCACTCATACAAAACCTGATCATGAAAATTCAGTAGAACTGTACTGAATAAAATGTTATCTAATTCACTCATACAAAACCTGATCATGAAAATTCAGTAGAACTGTACTGAATAAAATGTTATCTAATTCACTCATGCAAAACCTGATCATGAAAATTCAGTAGAACTGTACTGAATAAAATGTTATCTAATTCACTCATGCAAAACCTGATCATGAAAATTCAGTAGAACTGTACTGAATAAAATGTTATCTAATTCACTCATGCAAAACCTGATCATGAAAATTCAGTAGAACTGTACTGAATAAAATGTTATCTAATTCACTCATACAAAACCTGATCATGAAAATTCAGTAGAACTGTACTGAATAAAATGTTATCTAATTCACTCATGCAAAACCTGATCATGAAAATTCTCTTTTCATTATTAAAAGCATAATTAAGGTGGATATATTTTGTATCTTGCTGGAATCCTATAGGGTGCAATATATTCTCTACATTATATATGTTTTTTTATCTATATTAATAATTCTGAAAGGCGTTTTATTGAAAATAATTGTGATTATTTAATTAGTCTTTGTGTCGCTTGCAGAGCAGAGCGACTCTTAGGGATCATCCCGGAGTCTGCATGTCCGTACCACCGTCCGCTTGTAAGTCTTGGGGATTATTGAAATAAACTCGTATGAATAGATGATTATTTTCAATAAATTCAATTTGATTATTTATCTTAATTTATATTGATTGTAGCTTTTATGGTAAATATTATTTATCACTTCTTACTTTCTGTGGATTTTCTTCTTTGCTTTAACTAAAATGCTAGTATAATATTTAGAAAAAGACCACGCTTTAGTTGTTATTAATATCTTTAATGATACTACACTGAACCAAACTTCTAAGTGTTCACCTAACATTTTTTAAGTTTTGAAAAACAAATGCATACAATAAATAATTTCTTTAATTCATGGTTAATGATGCATATTTCAGTTCGTTGTTGCGTAAATTTCGTGTAAGTATCTCGTCAGAATTTTAAGCAAAGTGTCAAGGACATGATGTACCCTCAAAAAAGAAAATTCACATAAAATCTCTAAGGAATAAGACCACCACTCGCTTAAATTACTGCAAGGCATATTCTTTTCTCATGGATACCACGTACCCCTGAATAGGATATTGACCCATCTGCTGCCACACCTACTGCGTGGATCTTTCTAAACTGTTGAAATTGTGGGGGGGGGGGTGCTTAGACATTCCTTACAAAAATCCCAAATGTATTCAATAGGATTCAGATCCAGGAATTTGACAGTGCATCATCACAGATACCTTTTGGTCAATATTCTTGGGCGTTTCACATGTAAGTGTACCTCTTTAAGGATGATTCAGACTGTTTGAGATGATATTAGACTGCCACCAGCACCAATTTCTTATCATTTTCTTACCATTTAAGTCGTTTGTTTTAATGTTTCTAAAATTGTTTCAGGACAATGTAACAAACTTTTAACCTAGTTGTGATGCAAAACGATGGCCTCGGACGAAGATCCAGATCACTTCCGGTTTGATGAAATTTTGTCCAAAACTTTCAAATTGTGACAAGTTGGCGATGAAAATGACGCAGAACCTATAGAAAAATGTGTTTAAATGGGTTTTTTATACTTGTTGTTAATTTTTAAAAGTAATATCAAGGACAAATAAACACTAAAAGAAAAGTAAGTAAAACATGGTGCAAGGATGATCCGGATAACAACATTCCAACGGCTCTCCCTCCTTTCTCAATGGTCATTTTGCCAATGTTTTGTGTTTTTTTGTTTAACCAGTTTTCAAAAAATTGAAAATGGTCACAAAAAGATGCTGATCACACAAAACACTTGCCGCAAAGTACAGATTTATTGTTTTTACACTTCGTCACGGTACATTGGTTTTCATCGGTGATAACTGATTTTCTTTCAACAATTGTTGAGAAGACTCGTTGGTTATAATAATTTGAAAATATCATACCATTCTATCTTGTAGTTTTTAAATAAATAATTTTATTAGAGTGAACACTTAGAAGTTTTGTTAAGTGTATAGCAGGCAACATGTATATGTTCCTTGGAACTATATACGCGGATGATACACTTCTGATAGCGGACTCAGCTGAGAGTTTACAATATATGTTACATACACTTTACAGTTAACTTCTTTTATAACGTACTCGGTTATAAAGTATCTCCGGATGTAAAGTAGCCATTCCGTAGTCCCTGCAAAGTGTCTATATATTTCATTGAAGAAAAAAAAAAACACCTCTTGCAACGTATTTGTATATAACATAGTATCGCTTATAAAGTATTAGAAATTTGGTCCCGATACATAATTACACCTCTTGTAACGTATTCTGACACCTGGTTTCAGGGTTAGGGTTAGTTTTCAGTGTTTTTTATCAGTTCAGTGACTGCGGATTAGTCACGGTTTGTTGACTTCATACATGTAGCTTCTCCGTAATGGGTGTTTTTCTAACGAGGTTTCGTTGTTGTTTCAGGTAGATGTATTTATAATAAATTGTTTGAATAAAGTTCATCGAGTATATGTACTCATAATTGTTTGAATAAATATTCATCTTTGAGTCAGTATATAGCAATATAACCGAAAATGATATCATTAAACTAGTGAAAGAAAAATACATTTATTCAATATCACTAGACCGCGAAGACAGCGAGGACGACGAGGCCATGCCTGACACGTGCATACCATCTACCCATACGATCAAAGGGCATTAGTCCGAAGTTTTCACGACTCTGGTAACTCTGGAGACTTTTGTAAATAAATGTCATCAGGCCAAACAGACAAACATTACGGACTTTTTATATGATCTGACGATCATCAAGATTGTACAGCACTTAAGTGATTTTGAAATAATTTATACTTTGTGAAAATAGAATGTTACTGAATATTAATCTTTCTTAATATAAGAAATGAAACCAAATATACCTGTAAATCATTTATTAATTTACATACTATGCATACTTTAAAATATTAATAACACACTAGCGGTTTGAAAAGTGCTTACGGTAAAGGTGTACTGAGTACTTCCGGTCTCCGTTTATAATTGGTTACATTGGTTATAACGTAGGATTTATCACAGTCCCCTGAGATATGTTATAAAAGATGTTAACTGTATATAGCTATTCAAAAGAATTAAAGTGTAAATTGGGGGGGGGGGGAAGCAAGCAAAAAAAATAAAATTTGTAATTTTAGAAACGAAAAAGTATTAAAAACGAAGAGAATGATTTTGAAAAATCAAGATTATAGCATTTAATTTATTCGTCATTGCACACCGAATTACTATATGCTCCTATGAAGCAGTGTAATGTCGAATGAATTATACACAGTATCATCTATCATAAAACTGAGACACCTCATGTTTGACTTATGTTAAAATAATCTGAACAGAAAGTGTAAATAAATACAGATTAATTATCTTATCAAGGTCCCTATCCTAGTACAATACGACCGATTAATAAACTGATAAACACTCAGTAGAATTAGAGAGCACTTGATGTTACCAACAACAAAAATGATTTACTGATAAAGAATACTGCACACAGTACCACCGTTATATTGTAAATGTTTGACGTAAACATGGTAGAGGTACAAATCTACTAGATACTTCTCTTACAATTTCATCAATACACTGATATGTGATAGAAGCACACATTTAAGATATCGTGGAATTTAGATGCATGTGATTATTACAGTACTGCTATATGACTACATCGTCGATAGCCTTGGCAGTAAAAGCGCGTCCCATACTATGTCAGATTTTGAAATATAATACAGAGTTGTATTTTAAAATATTTGAGGCAATTTGTACAAAAGGAAGAAATTCGGAGCGAAATAAATTATTAATATCCTCTCTCGATTTAGACTTTCTGTTCAAACAGGGACTTAATAATACGGGTATGTTGAAAGTTCTGTACAGTAAAACTCGGTTATAAAGAACTCGTGTATAAGGAAATCTCGGTTATCAGGAATCCTTCCCGAACCCTGTAGAAAACTTTTCACTGCCTTCCTTATACAGATACACTGTATAAAGAACTCGTTTATAAGAAATGAAAATTGACGTCTCAGTTGTTTATCCCTTATAATCAAGTTTTACTGTATTTGAAATGGAGTGATTAGGCCTTGAACTCGATTTCAACAATTTTTTTTGGTTACCATACTTGAAACTTTTGTGGGTTTTTTTTCCGGAAATTAAACTAGAAGTTTATATTAAGAATTCCTTTTGAAGATCTGAAATGAAAAACTGCAGATGTTTGTTTAATCAACACTATCTTATTCAAATTTGCGTTGTTGTGGTTAGAATTTATACATCAAACATTAACAGAGCAGTACAACCATAAGCTTAACAACTGAACTGTAGCTTCTAGGTTTCTATCATTTTAGGTCTTGCAACAATGTATGATGTCAAATGTTTCAGGCTTCTAAGTTTTTTGGTATATCTTAAACGAATCGAAAGTTGTAAAAAGCAGAAATCTTATTTTCCTAATCCTGAAGTTTA